CAACTTTTCTAGGATTCTCTTGGATGGATATTTAGGTCCCAAAATCAACATGGAGAGAGGTATACGACAAGGAGACCCCGTATCTGGATATTTATTTAATATGATAATGCAGCCCCTAACAAATCAACTAATGCAGTCGAGGGAGATGAAGGGGATACCTATAGGCGAAGGATTAGAAGTACGATTATCGCAATACGCTGACGATTTAATAGTATTTTCAAGCGCAAAACCGGAATCTATAAATGCGGTAATAAATGAACTAGACATTTTTCATAAAGTATCTGCATTACGTGTTAATATAGATAAAACAAAATGTCTTCAAATCGGCAAAACAGTTGACTGTTCGTTTTTGAATATGTCAGGGTTGCAGAAAGTAAGCGAACTGAAAGTATTGGGAATAATCTTTTGCAATACAACCAACACCATCGTGGAAAAAAATATGTCTGAAGTATTACCTAAAGTAAGACAGGAAATAGCCCAATGGAGGCGACGAAATCTCACCCTGATAGGAAAGATAACAGTTGTAAAATCAATGGTTATTTCTAAACTAGTACATATTGTATCGTCATTGCCAACCCCAAACGAAAAGGACATTTCTTACATTAATAATATATTGTTCAAATATATCTGGAACGATGGTCCTGATAAAGTTAAAAGAAACAAGTTGGTACAAGATTATGATCACGGGGGTTTGAAAATGGTCGATATTAGGTCGTTTATAAAAAGTCTAAAAGTTAACTGGATAAAAAGACTATATTGGTCAACATCTGATGTTGTATGGGCTAACATAATCAAGAAAACTTTACCTCCTATTTGTGAACTAGTTTGCTACGGTACGGAGAAGTTGAGAAACATCTCGAATCATAGATTACGTAATACATTTTGGAAAGATGTGCTGAACGCCTGGGCGGATTTTTGTGCGGTCTTCCGAACAACACCAGAAAACGTTCTGACGGACAAACTGTGGTATTCAGATCACAGTAAATTCCAAACGAGCATTGTAAAAGATTGGGATAGAAAGGGTTTGAGATTTGTTGCAGATTTGTATTCTAAGGATAGCGGATCATTTTTAGATAAACGAACTCTAAGTGAAACGTTTAACATCAAAATGTCGTTTCTATGCTATGAATCTTTAACCAGAAGTATACCGCATCATGTGGATAATACTGTTGTTGCCTGTAAAATCATTTACCCAATAATACCTTATAAAATAGCGCTACTCTCCCAGAAAACAAACACTTCACGCTTAGCATATAATGAATTCGTTTCTGCACTGTTAAAACGAGAAACAAACCAGTCAACGCAAAATCATATTAAGCGTAAGTGTTTTTTTTTTTTTTTTTTTTTTTTTTTTTTTTTTTTTTTTTGTCCTCCCGGCAAGCCAAGTGGCTATAGCCGGGGGAAGGGGAAAGTTACTAGCTGGCAATTGGCCAGGTCTTTCGTTTACGTTACGTTAATGCCGGCTATTTGATTCCGGCCCAAGAACTAAGAGAAAGGCAAAAGACTACGTTAAACCGGCTCATGTGGCGTCCAGTGGGTTCAAAGCAAAGGGAAGGCCGAAAGGTGCCTGATGGGCGAGACAATAAATTTGGTTACTTACATAGAACTTGCTGCTGAGACTTGCTGCTGATTTGTGTGCTGTTGTTTGGTGTGTGTTGTTGTGGGGTGAACTTACCAGGAAAAGTCCTAACTAGAAAAAACCTGGTGCCTAACCAAGAGGGCAAAAACCTGTGCTTTCAGCCAAAGTACACAGTAAAAAAGCCCTTTCTTTAATTACGTTATATTACGTTACGTTATATCGCTAATGTGTATGTGTGTTTGTGGAGCTATCACCTTCATCCACTCCCGGGGGCCATGGATGCAAGCCACCTAGGCCGCGCCCGGGGTGTCCGGCCAGATAGCTTTTGTGTCTCGAGTGGGCCTCAACCTTTAAGAGGGATCCCTGTCGAGTTTACACACATATATAAATACACTTGGAAAAGGCGGAGAGAACGAAAGCGAATGGAAGCAAAACGAAGCGGATGGAGACGACGATGGAGGATCATAAGAACATCTATATACTGTGTGCTGGGTTGCGATCATATGCTATTGATGAGATTCGAATCACTGAGGAAGGTAAATAGAAGTTCAATTAGATCTGGATGATCATCACCCAGGAGTGTTGGGAGGTCCAGGCTGAGGTTGTGTGTGTTTGTGTAGTGAATGATGGGTTGACGGTATTGGTCGTAGTGTGGGCAGTTGAGAAGGAGGTGGGCAATGTTGAGTCGTGTTAGTGGTGTGCAATGTGGGCATGTGGGTGGGGGTTCGTGCTGGTAGATGTATCGGTGTGTGATACTGGTGTGTCCAATTCTCAGCCTGGCCAATACCGTTTCTCTAAGACGATTACTTTGATTGGAAGAAGCAAATGATTTGATTTTTGGGTGAATCGGGTGTAGATGTTGATTTGGAAAACTATTCCAGTCGAATTGGCGAAGGTCGAGAAGAGCATTTTGGATATGATTAGCAATATCTTTGTGCGGACAACGAAGTGTGTTTCTTTCCGGTTTGTCTAGGCTATTTTTCGCTAGGAGATCCGCCCTTGTGTTACCGGGAATCCCCGCGTGTCCTGGTATCCACAACAGGCGGAATTCAAATCCTTTTTTCTGAATTGTAATTATATGTTTCTTGATAATGTATATTATATGATTGTCTTCTTTTTTTCTGCTTGAGATGGCACTGACTGCCGAAGCTGAGTCAGTGCAAATTACGCTTTTTTGGATATGTTGTTTCTTGATATAGATAATAGCTCGCAGAATCGCTGATAGTTCAGCTGAAAAGACCGTGAAAAGATTATGCAGGCGAATGGAGTTTTCGTAGACTTTTGATGTAACACCAGCGCCTGTTCTGCCATTTGATAGTGATCCGTCAGTATAAAAGAAGGTATGATCGTTGTATTGATTTACATATTGTATGAAGAGTTGAGAGATTTCTTGTGAGGAGATATGCTTCTTATTTTCTGAGAAAAGATGATCTACGTTCTGGATGGGTGCCAGCCAGAAAGAGGTTAGAGGGGGGATAGGCAAAATGGACGGGAAAGAAATGTTGAAATGATTAAGAGCCTTCTCTACGCGATAACTGATCACTGGGAATCTCCTTTCCGGGTCACTTGGAGGAGACGAAGAATATCGATTTGTAAGTATTTGATGAGAGGGATTCGAGGGGTTCGCGCAGCAACGAAGATAAAAGCGGAGAAGAAGATATTTGCGGCGTCGATCAAGTGTAGGAATATTGACATCAATGTGAAGATTGTCAATATTGGAAGTTTTCATTGCACCGGTGATGATACGAAGAGCGGTGTTCTGAATCACTTGGAGAGAATCAATTTTTTTAGTGGCTATATCATCGTATAAGAAACCGTTGTAATCCAGGATAGGACGAATTAGGGAGGTGTATAGGCGGAGGAGGGTTCTCCGATCGGCTCCCCACTCCCTGCCGGCTATACATCTCATAATCGAAAGTCGTCTGGCGCATCTTTGTTGAATGTCTTCGAAGTGTTTACTAAAATTAAGCAAGGAATCAAGCGTTATACCTAGATATTTAAAATGCGAAACGAATTGAAGGTTACGATTGTTGATTCTAAGGTTACGATGATTGGTTTTGGGGAGTCGTCTTGAAAAAATGACCGATTTTGATTTGTCTGATGAGAGGACGAGTCCCCATTGATTACACCATGTTTCTATTTTTTCAAGAACGAGTTGCATGATTGCTATGCCTTGATCAAGATCACGATGAGAAACCCAAAAGGCTACATCATCGGCGTAAAGAGAGTGTTGTATATTGCTAGGTGTGTTGTTGAAAAGGTCATTGATCATGATCAAAAAGAGAGTAGGAGAAATTACACTGCCCTGTGGGAGGCCATGATCTAGTGTAAAGAGTGGAGAGTAGGTGTGGCCACAACGGACTCTGAATGTTCGATTAGCAAGGAAGTTCTGTATAAAGTTCGCCATGTGACCGCGAATACCGGTTCGATGAAGTTTAATCAGAAGAGCGGATTTATTGACTTTGTCGAAGGCGTTTTTAAAATCAAGGAAGACGGCGATCGTGTATTCCCTTCTTTGAAATCCTCTTTGAATTGTGTCAATTATGTGAATAACACTGAAAAAAAAAATGACACCGTATAAGGGATCAATTGACCCTGACGAAAAGTCCGCCCCACAGGGGGGTCACCATGAGTCCCTAGAGGGGAATCCTAACACCAAAATATGGTGTTCGACACCGTATACTGGTGTCCAGATGCAATAAAGGAGGGCGTCACGACTCCTTAAAAAGGTCGCGACTCCTTTCGAGTGACACCCTCCCGGAGAATCACTGACCCCTTGTTTTAGTGTCTGACGCCCCGCATAATGGCAGACTCCCTTGCGTGACACCCTTCATGAGAATCATTGACCCCTTTTCTTAGTGTCCGTCACCCCCTCATATGGTTTCGCGACTCCCGTTGCGTGACACCCTTCAGGAGAATCACTGACCCCTTTTCCTAGTGTCCGACATCCCCCCCCATATGGTGTCAGACTCCCCTGTTTCGGTGACACTACGTTCCGGTGTCTGATTTCTTCCTTAATGGCTCTCAAAATGGGCTCACTGACACGCATAATGTGGTAACATAATGAAATGAAAAATCCAAATATGCTAATAACGTTTTTATATTTTGATACCTAACATCTTTGGATTTTTCATTTCATGGAGATACCACATCATGGGTGTCGGTGAACCCATTTAGGGAGTCATTGAGGGAGACATCAAACACCGGAACGTGTGTCATCGAAACAGGGGAGCAAAACACGTGACGGCAAGTGACCGGGTCCCACCGCCCGGTCACTTGCCTCCCATCACATCTCCCACCATCACACGTGTCGTTCGGCCGATGCGCCCGCTCCCCCCCCCCCCCACCCCACCCCCTAACCCGCCAACAACCGCCAAACCCGCCAACAACCGCCAAACCCGCCAACAGACACAGGAGTGGAAAACGGTCGTGTATTACAGCTGTACTCCTGTCAGCGGACCACACAATCTGCCATGGCGATGAACCTGCCTCTCACCTGTCCTGGGTCACTCGCAGTGGGCAAAAAAAAAAATCAACCGACCCCCCTCCCCGCCTCCTTCATTGCCGGTCAGCGGCCGTCGCTAACGTCTCACTACTTGTAGATCTTATGAAGCACACGCTCCGTGACCTTTGTGACCTGCATGCGGAAGCCGCAAACTTTGTTGTACAGGACGGAACCCAGCCGCCGCCCATACCCTGAAGGGAATTTGGCGGCAAAGACCATGTGGGCCAGAACCCACAGGACCAGTTTCACGTCACCGTTGGCTTCAGGGATCAGCTGGGCTTCGTCCGATACGATGACGCCGGCGTCCACCATCCTGATGCCGACGTTTCTCCCAGCCAAGAGGACGTCGAGGTCTTCCCCCAGCAGGAATGCCAGATGCCAAATGGCACGATCTGACGAATGAAACGCAGTTGTTAACATTCATTCACACTAAATTTCATGACTTAGAACGTACACGGACGGAGCCTTGCCAATCCTGCGCCATTTCGCTTCAGAGCGTGATAGTGCATCTGGACGAAAACGAAACATTTTTGGACGATAACGAATTTCAAAGAGAGAGAGAGAGAGAGAGAGAGAGAGAGAGAGAGAGAGAGAGAGAGAGAGGGAGAGAGAGAGGGAGAGAGGGAGAGGGAGAGAGGGAGAGGGAGAGGGAGAGGGAGAGGAGAGAGAGGAGAGAGAGAGAGAGAGAGAGAGAGAGAGAGAGAGAGAGAGAGAGAGAGAGAGAGAGAGAGAGTACGAAGAATCACAGAGGGCGTGCGCCTACTTACCATGCGGGCACCGATGTTCATTGCAGATGAGCTCCTTCAGCCTCTCCAGGTTACCCAGGGCCTTGCCCCGGAACGCTTCAGGTTCCATGCCTGTCAGAAGCTCCACTTCATCCCAGAACTGCAAATAAGGCGGAAAAAGAAGACATAAAACAGGGTATATACCTACCATTTTGTTAGTTGAAGGGTCACAGAACCGACAAACTTCAAGCTGGAGGTTATAATTACACAATTCTTTGTAGTGCTCAAACGTGCCTTACAGTAAAATAGCCACCTAACATGGGTTTTAAAATAGCGACATCCATCGCGTAGGTGATAAGTGAAAAACCTCTAGTGGTGCTCATAGGTGTCAATTTATATACTTTTGGGGGCCCTCGCCCCCCCCCCCAATGGTGCTCTCGCCCCCCTCACTACATCTACACTTGTTGCGGCCAATTTAAGCGGCAGAGCACGAAATTCAGAAATAGTGCAGGCAATTTCAATTGTTCGGCAAGTGCGTTAATATATTGAATCGGTGCACGATATTCGGCGTACATACTGCTGCATATTTCGGCGTAGTGCAAGCATAAATAACATCAGTGAAAACGATTCTAACCACACAATACAGAACACGAATGCACTGCTTCTAAAATTAAATGCACTATATCTGAATATTATGCGCTAGGTAGGTATATCCGAATAGCCTGAACTCTGCCGAACAACCGATGCACTATGCCGTACTGTCGAAATTGGTCGGACTAATACCGAACTTCATGCACTAGTAACTATGTCTATAATTAGCAGTATAATGGTGTACAAACATGTCGTAACAGGGGAGTGACACGGTTTCTTTAACAATGATGGACAAACATTAATGATATAGAAAAGAAAGGAAATGATAAAGAATAGGAGCTGGAGCTGGAGACGTGGAAACGCTACCACGACTCAGCATCTATGAATTACTCACAACCTTAAACTGAACAGATCTGGTACTCACCGCCTGCTGAGGCTGACAGAATCTCCACTGACAGCGACGTCTGAGATGATGAGCTTGCTGTGGCTGTCCACTTCCGCTGGGCTGTCAACGTCCAGTAGCTCATCCGGCCACACTGCAGAGCACTGGCTCACCCTAACAGTCCCACAGCACCCTGGCTGTGGGACACCACAGCCACAGCAGTGGCTCACCCTCCCCCCCCCCCCCCCCCACAGCAGCGCACAGACTACGGAAACACCACAGCAGGAATATTTTAAAATCTTGTTTTAACGCCGGCTAAAAAATAGGGGCCGAAATCGGGGGACTTTTCAGTTTTTTTTTTGGATCACCTTGACTGACCGTTAAACCCGACCATCCTAATCGAAAATCTGTTGCGACGCCACTGCATTCAAACAGGATTTTCACAACTCTGCATACATGCAAAGCACCCTCTGTGATTTTCACAATAGGTACGACCCTGAACGTAGGCATCGCATTCGGCGCAAGTTCAAAACAGGGCCCGTATGGCGAAAACAGAAATGAAAACAAAAATAGGTAGGTACAATGCAACTTACCGATAGCTTGAGGAAGTCCAGAATATGTATGCAAACACCGAATATAAATGTAAAGGCCTATCGCCGCCCTCACCTACCCTCATCCGAGCGACGCCGAACGCGCGAGCGCGCCGGACCAAGCTCCGCGCCGACTGAGACGCTCATGCGCCAGTTCATGCAGGAAGTGACGTCACAGAGGCCTCTGACTCCACGGAAGGGTGCCAGCAAGGCCCTATAACAACAGGTTGGATGGAGTTTTCTACCAGAAATATACTAACATTTCTCACGTTGACCAATGTCAACCTGATATTCATTAAAAATAATTGAGTTTTGATGGATGGTTTTTGATTAACTTCGTTTTTTATAGACACAATTCTCATTATAATAAATTTAATTATGTTATTCCTCTTTTGGATTCTTAAAAACTAGGATAGCTGAAACAAAGTTATAGTTGCAACTAAGTTTGCAAGACAACGTGTTCTATAACAATATTGGTATCATGGTGGCCATGGAGACCTGTTCAGATTCATTGGTTTGTTACGGGGTTGCTATAGAAACCTGAGTTCATAGAACAGTGCAAGCAAATACCGTTGCCTAGCAACCTCTTCGTCGGTGGCACCTCCGTCGCGCTGGGAGGGAACGCAGGGTGCCGGCACGCCGGGAGAAGATACCAGAATACAGAGTAAATAGCGCCGAAGCATCTCCAGTGCACGTGGACCAATCGGGAAGGGGTTGGCACCATTCGACGTAGCGATCCGCCGGAAAGACGGTGGTGTCCGTCACGTGAGACGATGCAGCCACGTGTTACGCGTCACTATCACGTGGCGCCACGTGGGGCTCTGCAAAAATATTCTGATGACATGGGTCAAACATATGGATGGCAGCCACTGGCGGATCCAGCTACCTGTCATGGGAGGGGCATTTTAGCGAAGGGGTAGGGTGCCCCTAAAACTAAAAACTCTTCGGATTTAGGCCACTATTTTTTGGGATTGCCGAAATTTATCTTTAATTAAAAATACAAAAATATATTCAAATTGAGCCTCATGCCGTTTTGGCCCCCCCCCCCCAAAAAAAAAAATCATCGGAAATATGACCGAAGTTGACATTTGTATGTACCTGGAAGGAAAATTTAACTTTTTAATTAATTGAAGTTGGTTTTAAAACGATGTCCGATGTGTAAGCATGAGCATCCAATTTCGATCAGTGGTGGACGGCGCGCTCTGATTGGCTAACACTCGAGGTTAACCACCTTGTAAGGGGGTCCGACTCCCTGTGAACGGGAAAGGGTGTCCCGACACCTTTTCCACATCGCCTTTCTGTGGAGTCGGACACCTTTACAAATCAGTCCAAAACACCTTGTAATGGGGTCCGACTCCCTGCGAACGGAAAAAGGTGTCCCGACACCTTTTCCACGAAGCCTTTCTGTGGAGTCGGACACCTTTACCAATCAGTCGGAATTTACAGGAAGGAGTCGCAACTCCCCCGTCTGGAGTCGTGACACCGTCTCTTGGAGTCTTGGAATCAAGGGAGTCAGCCCGTTTGCCCCATGGGGAGTCGCGACACCTTCAGGACAACACCAGTTCTTGGTGTCGGACACCATATATTGAGATCGACCTCTCCAAATTTTGGGGTTTGAACCCAAATTTAGAGATCACTGACACCTGTAAGAGGAGTCAGATGTAATGTGGGGTGTCAAAATTTTTATCAGTGAACGCTATCAGCAGTTGACCGACCAGGTCGGAATCCGTTTTGGTAAGTAGTAAGAAGATTGTTTGATTCAAGATACGCCCTAATTCGTCCGTTAACCATTCTTTCTGTTAGTTTAGAGGCACAACTGGTGAGAGATATAGGTCGATAGTTAGAAGGGTTTGAGGAAAGTTTAGAAGGTTTAAGGATAGGGATAATGGTGCTTTTGCTCCAGGAAGCAGGATACGAATTGTTTTCCCAAAGGCGATTTAGAGTTTCCAGGAGGGTTTGCTGTCCAGATTCAGGGAGATTTTTGAGAAAAGCGTAGGCAACCTGGTCTGGACCAACTGATGTGTTGCCACATCTGTTGAGTGCTGATTGTAGTTCATGTGCTGTGAAAGGTGCATTGTACATTTCGGTGTTGTTGGAGTGAAATGAAAGGGAAGCAAGTTGGGAATCGAGTGTTGTGGTTAGTTGTGGAGTGTACTGTTGTACTGATGAAATGTTAGCATAATGTATGGCGAATTGTGTGGCTACTTCTAGTGGTGTGAGATAGTGGGTGTTGTTAATGTGTAGGTGTGGGATTTTATAATTTCGGGGTTGTTTGTTGGAGAAACATTTTATGAGAGACCATATTTGCGATAGGGGGGTAAAACGATTAAAGTTGTTCGAGAAAAGTTGCCAGCTCGATTGTTTTGCACTAAGAATAATTTTGCGGGAATGAGAACGAGCCTTACGCGCTTCCTCCTCATGTGCTGGGCATAGGCAGCGCCTAAAGGCGCGTAGTGCCCGCCTCCGGAGGGCGACCGCTCTCTGGCATTCACTGTTCCACCATGGAGCATTGTTATTAGGGCGGGGAGGGCCTGAAAGTGGGACTGATTTACGGGCGGCGTTAAGTATTATATCTAGAAAAGTGTTAATATCTCTAGGGGGAGTTTGGATGTTTACGTTAATATGGTTTTGATATTCAGCCCAATCGGCTTTGCGAAAGTTCCATCTGGGAAGAAAATTAAAGTTGGATTGTCCTGAAGGGACGTCAAGGGAATAATGAAGTGGGTAGTGATCGCTAAAGAGTGGGTCGTCCGCAGTATACTGTGTGAAGAGCAGTGCGGTGTTAGTGTCAGTGATGGCGAAGTCAATGACGGTGTGTGACGCGACGCCATTGTTGATGCGTGTACACGTGGGGACGCGATTTGTCAGTGGAATCAAATCAAGTGAGTCAATTACGTTAAACAGTTGTGTTCCGCGCGTGTCATTTAATGCACAACCCCACGACTGGTGGTAGGCGTTGAAATCTCCCATCACAATGAATGGAGGGGAGATTTGGGAAAGCAATTCTGACATTTGAGAAGGATTGAAAGGAAAGGAACGGGAAAGGTAAATAGAGAGGATAGTCAGGTCACGTTGTGCAATTTTGACTTTGACTCCGACAACGTTAAGCGCTGTACGGAGTGAGATTTGGTGATGCAAAAGATTATTGGAAATATAAAGCGCCGAGCCGCCTTGGCGCGGGTGAACGTTTACGTTATTGGTATATAGAGAGTAGTCCCGGATATTGTAATTATAGTTTATAGAGTCTGAATCCAAAAATCTGGTTTCCTGGATTGCGGCTACCAACGGTTTGTTATGCAAGATATAGTTTTTGAATTCAGCCCAGTGGTGTATTAGCGAGCAAGTGTTCCATTGAAGGAAGAATTCAGGACGGTTGTGACTCATGTTTAAAGATTAAGGCTGCGCACCGCCGAGCGAGTCAGACGGCGGTCTGTCGAAGACGATCGCGACTGGGAGCGAATGTGAGACGCAGGACTCGTTTTCCACCATTCCGGCGCAGACTCTGGCCACTCGTTAGTGTCGCCTATACCTGAAGCCGCTGACGGGTGCGGCGCGCCTGACTGGGGCCTGGGGAGCGGCGGTCCCACCGGGTGCCTAATGTTAGGGCTGGCCGGGCTTGAGGTCGCGGTCGAGAGGTCTGACTCGCTGTAGCACTCAGTCTCTGGGGTGGAGGGAACTATAGTCCGGTCAAGCACCGGGGAGGCTTCCGTTGAGGCCTCGGAAAGGGAGTCGTTCTCCTCACGATCCGGGGTCTCACCCGCTTCAGCAACCTGGGGCGCTGGGGTCGGTGGGAGTTCTGTGTGCGCGCTGGGGTCGGCCGCGGGGGACAGGGGCGTCTCGCTGGCTGTGGGCGCGCTGAGGGCCGACGCGGGCGTCTCGCTGTCGCTCGGGACCGCCGCAGGGGACGCAGGCGAGTCGGTGGTCGGTGGTGCGCTGAGGGCCGCCGCGGGGGGCGCTGGCGCCTCGCTGGCCCAGCTCGGGAGGGCGAGCTCCATGCCCGGTCGCGCTCCGGCTCCGTCATCGCGCTCGGGTGTGCGTGGATCGCGCTTCGCTGTCGAGCGGGACTCGGCTGCCCTGGGAAGGGCTTCAGAGGGGAGTGGCCACTCGGCGGGGTTCAACGGCCATTGAACGGGAGGGGCTTGGCGACTCGCGGCGCGGTGGGCATCACGACGCTCTTTTTGAACGGCCCGGTGCCAGTCCCTAGCATCTACACGTACTGGACAGTTAGAGTCCCACGCCGGATGGGCCTGACGGCAGGAGGGGCAGGAGGGGGTCTCTGCCTGACAGTCACCCGCCACATGGTTCGACCGGCCACAGCGGCCACACTTAGGTGAGCGGCGACGACATGAGCGCGCGGTGTGGGAGCCGACCTCCCAGCAATGGCTGCAAAGGGTCGGCGCCGGGATCCACGGGTTGACTGGGACCCTCAGGTAGCCGCAGGTGATGTAGTAAGGGAGAGCATCCCCGTAAAACCCCAGCTTCACGGTAGGGTTGGGGCCCCACTCCGCCGCGTTCCGGGAGCGCAGGCGTTCGACACGGCAGACCCCCTGGGACTGCAGCTCCTGGAGGAGTTCCTCGTTGGTCAGAGATGTAAGTGCGTCGCTGCGGACACAGCCCATGGTGATCCGCATGCGGCTGGCGAGAGATACTGTGATCGGGAGGCCACCCAGAGTTTTGGAGCGGAGAATGTTGCTGGATTGGGTTTTGTCGGTGGTTTCAACGAGTAGAGTGCCTGTGTTGGTGGTTTTGGCAGAGTTGAGAGGGCCGCAGAGAGTATCGAGAGCCCGTTTGAGCGCGAATGGATTGGACTTCGTAAAATCGCCGTTGTCTTTTTTTATCAGGAGGAAGCAGGGGCCGTCGGGCGGGTCCTTGGGGGTGGGGAGCACAGCTGGTGGCTCCCGCTCGCCGGGGTCGGTGGTCGGAGCCATGAGAACGTGAACGTAAGAAAAAAAAAGAAACTTGGTGCGGAGATGTGATAAGTAACAATTAAGAACCAGTAGCGGGCAGAACCGCAGATAGCAAAATTAATCCGATCCGGATGAAAAAATTGGGCGAAGAGGGCCGGCGCTGCCGGAAACCTCGGAGGCCCCCAAACAACGACGAAAGATCAGAGA